GATACATGGATGCATGGATGGATGCATGGATGGATGGATACATGGATGGATGGATGATGGATGGATGGATGGATACATGGATGGATACATGGATGGATGGAATGATGGAGAGATGGATGGATGGATAGATGGATGATTAAATGAATAAATGGATGAATGGGTAAATGGGTGGATGTATAGATGGACAGATGAATAAATGAATGGACAGATGGGTAAACAGATGGACACTTGTGGATGGAAAATAGGTGGATGAATAAGTAGAATAATAGATGAATAGATGACAACTAATGGAATGGGTGGATGGATGGATGAATCCTGAGCAGATGACTAAATATATGAGTGGATGGACAGATGATCAGATATGTGGATCCTGGTTTTACACATGCTCCTCTGGAAGACAGGTTTTCAGGGGGAGAAACAGTTCCCTGAAAACATATTAACTTAAGCTGCAATGGGTTGAGAAATCCGCAGTTCTCAGGCTCTGGCCCCAGCAACGCCCTCAGGACGCAGCTGAGGTTCCTGGGCTCGGTTCACCCTGGGGAACTCTTGGAGGGTCTGCCCTGCTTCCCGTGCGCATGGGGCCAAGAGCAGCGGCACAGTTTGAAGCAGGGCACGCTGGAGCCCGTTTCTCAGCCACATGCGCACTGAGGGGAGGCCCAAGGTGGCCCCTGCACAAGCTGAGGGCTAGAGCCTGGCGTCTGACACTCGCCCTCCGCACACTGGCACCGATGACACCAGGCTGTGCCCCGCACCCCGCGCCCGCTACCTTGGGCATGTTCATGTCGTCCATGAACACCAGGAGCCGCTTGCCCATGGGGGGGCCGTAAGTGTCCTTCGTGCGCTTCTCCACGTTGGCCTCCAAGTTTCTCTGGATGTCCATGGACGTGGTGCGGGAGGAGAAATTGACCATCAGCACAATCTGGAACAGAGAGGCTCAGCACGTGGGCCTTTGCTCCACGGCGGCCATAGGCTGCCGTCCACCTTTCAAACGCGTGCTCTCCAACCTGCGCGTTCTCACAAACCAGTGTGGGTCTGTGCTTCCTCATATCTGAAACGCTAAAGAGAGAATTCCTCTTTCCTTTGGTGGGTGGCATGAGCCGGTAAGGAGCTGTCGCCCCCAGGCCTGGGGACGGCCCTGACTCAGGCTCTGGAACTAAGGTCTAGAGAGTGGTGCGTGCGTTGGACCCTCGCGCACGCCCTCGGCCCCTACTGCCAGCCCTGCCTCAGCAGGTCGCGGGGATTTTTTTTTTTTTTTTTTTGTCTTTTTGAGACAGGGTCTCACTATGCAGGTCAGGCTGGCCTTGAGCTCACTTTGTAGCCCAGATGGGTCTCAAACTTGCAATGATCCTCCTGCCTCAGCCTCCCGAGCACTGGGGAGTGCGCCACCACACCCAGCTGGTCTGGGGGATTTTAAAATGCTTTCAGTGATGCCCACACTTGTGGGGACAATATTGGGGAACTGCTGCTTTTTAAAACACCCACCAGCCACGGTGCCCAGGAGCGTGTGCACGTAAGCCAGACGTGTGGATGCTGGACGTGCGTCTTGTCCCAGAGAATGTGTTCAGAGGCTCCTATTGGCCCCATGAACTCCAGCTGCAGAGTCCCCAGGAGGATGACAGGACAGAGGCCTCTGAACAAGGTGTCCATCAGCCTCACCCACAAGCCTCAGGTCCCTCTGGCTCCGAAAAGTCGGGCCCTGCCAGGCCCTCAGGCTGTGGAAACCTCCGGACTCCTACTCCACTGTCTACCCGGGACACGAAGCCAGCGCTGTGTCCAGAGCAGTGCTTCAGTCTGAGGAGGCCCCGTGTCCTGTGCTGCATGCTTAGGCCCCAGATTCATGTGGGATGGGAGGCGGGATTTTTGGAAGGTGACAGGATGAGGTCATCAAGGAAGTGGGATTTGGGGGAGGTATTTTGTTTAGCATTTTTAATAAAAGTGAGCTTCCTGTGGCAAGCTTGCTCCGTCCCACCACGGGTCACCCTCTGCTGAGTCAGGGTGCGGCCTGAATACTCTGTGGGCAACACTGGGCACTAGGACTTCCGGCCTCCAGAACCAGGAGCCAAGTCAGCTTCACCAATTCCCTGTCCTAGCAGCAGCCTAAGGCCAGCACAAAGAGCCACTTCAGAAGAGCTGCGGCAGAGCCTTCCCACAAAGGCAGCCCTGCAAACAGCTTGACTGCTATAACCACAGGCTGGACGAGAGCCCCCGCCTGAGCCACCCCTGTGCCCCAAGCCAGGCAAATGCCAGGCAGCGAGTGTTCATCATGTTCAGCTGCTGTGTGCTGTGTGATTTGTTACGCGGCAGAGATGACACATACAAATGGTGACTTACATTAGTGTCTCCATTCAGGTTCTTAAGGAAGTTCTGGGTAGTAGCTGTCTTAGAAGTGCCAGATTCACCAACGAAAATAACAGGGTGCTTAATTTTAACCATTTGTTCCAGTATCCAGGTGGTGCGGGTTGTATCCACTGTGTGAACTAAAAGACATCAGAATGGGGGCATCGCAGGAACGCCAAGTGGGGGCATCAGAAGCAGCAGCAAGGGCTGAGCGGCGACCTCAAAACCGTAGACGGGTAAAACCTCCGTGGAGAAACCGCATCACCGCACCATCATTTCCCACTGCTTCGCCGTACTGAGCTCTAATGTGCCACAGAATCACCTGCTTTAAGCATGTGACTTGGTGAGGGCATGATGCTTCGTTGCCTGCTTCCTGCAGGACTGGGTTTCCTGACCGAGAACTTCCTCTGGAGAAAGCCTAGCCCCAAAGTCAGGTGCGGCACCCACTCCACAAGGGCAGATCTCAATCCCAGTGGGTCCCTGAGAAAGTGGGGGTGCCTCGCTCTGGAAGCAGGTGCAAATGTATGAAATTATCCTGCTGGATTTTGTCTAAATCGCCAGAGGGGCGCAACCACCCACGGTGCACCATGCCTCCGGGCAGCTCTGTTTACACAATGCTGCCGTTCACTCCTGTTGCATCCCTGTGGTCCTGCACGCACCCGTGAGCTGTGCAGGCTGCCAAGGGCACCCACCCTGTGGGCACCGGCCTGAAGGGGGGAGTAGAGGGTCACAGCTACCTCAAGGTGCCCAGAGCCAGCAGGACAGAGAGAACCCCAGGTGCCAACCTTCAGAGGCCCGCGGCTCACTGCCCTCGCTTTGTCCCAAGGGCTCCCAGGCGGGACCCAGACACCAGCGAGGCCAGGGATGCTCTCGCTTCCTCCTGCTCACCCAGGATGTCGATGAACTTCCTCTCGCGGTCGTGGACGTACTCCGGGACCAGCTTGCCCCACGGGATCCACTGGTTCCGCTTGGAATCGAAGTGGAAGTCGTACAAGGTGGGAAGGTGGCCTGCAATGAAGGGCGGGCTGCGACCCTCTGACCGGAGACACGGGGACCCCGAGTAAGCCCTGGCACACATCTGGAATGCGCTGCTCCACGGGACAGACGCCACACTGGGTCCCCCCACGCCCCCCACCAGGCACGGGCTATGTGCCCCGAACTAACGCTAGCCCTCAATGGACAGAGTCCCTTCCCTGGGACGAAACAACCGGGCACAGAGCCCGGTTGGATGCCCGTACGGATGCCGCAGGTTGGCTGGGGACGGGCAGAGGGAAGAGAACAACGTGGGTGCAGTGGGAGGACAGGTGTGACAGGCGCCAGGGCAGGGCAGGGAAAGGACCGTGATCGCCGTCCCGCACTCAGGCTCCGCAGTCACAGGCGCTGTCCTCCCAGGGAAGCCCCTCCCAGATGCTCCCCCAGCTGCCACTCAGTGGCCCAGTGCGAGGTGCTGGAGCCACCACTGCAGGTCTTCGCAGACGCCCGTTTTCCACACAGAGCTTAAGCCCCTCGCAGGTCGGTCTTCTGTGAGCGGCCTCCGAGCCCACACTCGAGGGCCTGTGGTGCGCAGACACGGACACCCAGCAGGTGGCTTTACACGGCAAGGGGAGCCCGAAGGAGAACAGCGGGGTCAGGCGGACCGTGAGAAACGCAGGGGCGCAAGCGGAGCCCACGGCGCTGCAGCCCGGGAGAGGAAGAGGCCAGGCCCTCGGGAAAGGGCGTGGGAAGGCGCTGGCTTCCAAGGCGCCAGGGGTGCACCTGAGCTTCCCCCCAGGGGCTGCCAGGGACTCTGACCACGGCATTTCGCTCCGGGAGCAAACAGGCTGCAAACCCCACGCAGGGCCATGGGCATACGGAAAAGCAAGTCTGCGTCCTCTAAAGACGGAAGCCAAAGCACTGTGAGCAGGCCAGCGGTGACACTCCGCTCACCTGGCAGCTCCCCGGGTTTGGCCCAAACCCCTTCTGTCTCCACAGTGGACAGAGAAGACAGGCGTTTAACACACTCATCAAACTTAATCCTTCCGTTCTCGAGCAGGGAGGCACCCAGCGAGAAGTACAGAGCTTCCAGGAAGTAGCACTCCAGCAGGTCGGGGTCCTCGATCTCTCCCTCTAGCAATGCATCCAACATCTTGGTCAGCTGGGTTACCTGGCTCACAGGAAAGTGCCGAGGTCAGCCCCTACCTTCCCACCCCGAGGGTTAGCGCTGTCCTCAAGCCCGGGGCCCAGGACCCAGAGCGATGGGAACGTATGCACCACCGTATTGGTTCACACCAACGGAGCCCAGCATACTGCCCCGAACAGGGTCGCAAAAGCAGCAAAGAGGACGGCCCACAACGCTCACCCACCAGGCTGCGAGCGACCCACATGGCACCTCTGCTCCCCTTCAAGTCCACGATGGGCTCTACCCTGAAGGCAGAATTCCCGCCCCCGCTAGGACGGTTTCCTACCATGTTCAGGTCCGTCTGCGGAACTATGGTCTTCAGCTTCTCTCCTTGCCGTCCATCCACTATCCCTTCCACTATCACGTCGATGAGATAGGGCACATACTTCTCAAAAAGATGATTTAAATCATTTTGTTCTGCCTAGGAAAGACCAGTGTCCCAAAGAATTTTCAAAGGTTTCTTCTCTTCAATGGGAATTAAAGGTTTGCTTGTCCAGAAGGGCGAGAGACATGGGAGGAGCAGCTGGGCGGCAGGTGAGGAACCCCAACACCAGCGCCTGTGCTTGCGGAGAGTTCTGTCCTCCGCAACGCACTTGCATGCCATCCCTGCCACGGGTCCACCCCAGCCCTGGAAGTAAGGGAGAGGAGCCAGCGGGGCCCCGTGGGAGAAAGGGGCCCACTGCTTGGAGTTCCAGTGATGTCACCAGCCACCTCGCAAAGGGCGACCGCGTTTCCTCTGGTCTTCTCCACTCTGGAGCCATTACGTCCTGCTCTCCCACTCCCACCGGCCCGTGGCCTTCGTAAAGACACAGCCAGCCACCACCTGCATCCCTTGTGGGAAGGTGTCATGGTGTCCAGCTTGTGACCGAACCACAACTCACACACGCCTCTCCATCCCTCAGGGATGCCCACTGCCAAGGCGATGTGCCGCCCCAGCGGCCTCGGGACACGTCGCACAGTCTGGGGTTGACCAAAAGCACTGGGTCTCTGCTACGTGACAAGCTGGGCCCGGCACACGCTGCCCCACCCAGTGTGCCTGAGGGCACAGCATGGGCACCCCCGCCTCTCAGTCACTGGGCTTCTCTGGACCAGACTGTGGGCTGCAAACCAAAAACCACAGGCCACGTCTGGCTCGCCACCTGAGTTTGTCAATAAACTTCTACCAGTCCCCCAGCATGTCCTCTGCGCACGTATTTGTCTAGCTACGTTCACGCCGGAGCAGCAGAACTAAGCAGGCCCACAAGAAGCGATAATGCCCCGAAGTCTAAGACATCTACTATCTATCCCTGTGCAAGAGCCTGCTAAACCTGCTCTAGACCATGAAATGTGTGCAAACAACAAGTGTGTCAGCCATGTTTGCGTCGGATTCATGCGAAAGGACCTTAGCAGGTCAAGGACACAAGGTCATGAACTCCAATTACAAATATCCCTCCGGACGGGCCACCAATACTACTAACTTTAAGTTTACCGGAGGAATAATTTTCACCTTGTTTTGTATTTGATTAACCCATTTTTTCCAGTATGGTTGGTATTTCAAGTTTTTCGGATCCACATAAACCATTCCACATCGAGACACAGTTGCAGGGGAAGCATACTGCAAATCTCCAACCTGGAGGAAGAAAGAAAATCGTTCACATTCGCAGCTTCTTCTTCTGCACAAAACCCATGTCATACACAATTACCAAGACTTCCTGGAGCTTTTAGTTGAACATTTAGGGTTAGGGTAAGATTATATATCTCTGATGTAATACCTTTTAAATTTTTCCCTTACTATAAAATTAATATGAAAAATATGTTATAGAATACCTGACAGAAATTTTAAAATTATAAAGAAGAAATGAAGTTATACAAATCCTACCACCTAGAAACAAGCATTGTTTTAGAGTATCTTCCTTTCAGTCTTTTTTAATAACCATAGTTGAGATCAGGTAGGTAGCACAAAGCTTAATAAATACAATGCTGAATCAGCAACGTTAACAAAATCTCTGTTTATGAGAAAGACGCAGTTCCGCCGGCCAACTAGATAATGATCTGTATATGACAGAATGTCCCACATGCCCTCCCATGCTTGTACGTGGCGCCTCTTGGGGGTAAATGAACCCAGGGTTCTCAGGAGGTGGGGTCTGGTCAATAGGAAACTGGAGCAAAAGCAGCTCTCAGGGACACAGCTATGAAACAAGCCATTGGTATTATGAGTGGGAGATAGAGAGCCTTGAGGAGTAGTTTCCAGGAAGAAAAGGGCCCAGGAAAATACTTGGTATGATAGAAAACTTGAAAAAGGCAAGTGTGTGTGGGATAAAGGCAAATAGTGTAAGAGGAAAACAAAGGCAACTACAAACTCCAGACAAAACAAATGGCTCTGAAACACTGCACAGCAGTGCCTCGTTCACAAACTCAATTCTCTCCACAGCTCTGGTCCCAAACCACACTGGAGGAGAACAGAATCAAATTTCCCCACAAGGCTAACATTGAGCCTGACTGTTGAATTTGATTTTGTTCTTGTCCAACTTGGCTTGGACCAGAATTAAGGAAAGGATCAAGTTCACAAAACAAGGTACCACTGTAAATGTAGTTATAATATACTTGTTGGTTTGCAGTAAATATTTCCATGTTCACAAAAATACAAATATTGGCTACTGTAAACCAAGTTACAATATACTAGTTGAGGAGAGATGGCCAGCTGGTTGTGTGAGAGAAATCCTCACTTTCACAGTACTCGGGTAATCAGTCACCTGTAAACTTCATGAAAGAAGAAACAGCACACTAAGCATGTTGCTTCGGGTACTAGAGTAACTATCAGAAGAAACAACTCAAAAAACCCAAATGTAGTCACCTTTGGGGTGCAGTGGGAAGAGGGAAGGGGGAGTGGGTAAGCAACGAAGAGATGCACTCAAGACAAGAGTCTGCATTTTAAGTATTTGTCAAGATGTACTGCTACACTGACAAACGTCTACATTTTTAATTAGAAGAAAGACTTCCATTCAGAACCGACCCTTACTGCGACTCACCTCAAAGAGCAGAGCACAGTGAGCCTGCAGCCGGATACGCTCCCCGTTGGCCAGCGTCAGCAGCTTGTTGTCGTCCATCACAGAGTTCATATTTTCCACCCACAGAGCGTCCACGTCACCATCAAACAAAATATACCTGCAGTGGCCAAAGGGCGGGGAGCCAGGGTCCGAGAGGGCTTCCTACGGAGGTCTCCTACGGAGGTCATGCCCCAGGGGTCTCCAGCCAGGATGTGACAGCACCCTGCAGGGCACGGAGGTTCTACCGCATGGGACACGGACACTGTCTTAACTAGCCATCGATATTTAAGGAGCAGGGGACCTCACACAAAAGTCTGAATTTCCCCCCTTTTGGGCAAAGTATGTGTCCTGACCACGCCAACCTATTTGTTTGTCTTTGTCTTTTGAGACAGGGTCTTGCTATATAGTCCAGGCTAGCCTCAAACTCACAGCAATCCTCCTGCCTCAGCCTCCCAAGTGCTGGGATTACAGGTGTGTGCCGCCATCCCCGCCCTTGAGCTGAGATCTTGCATCTGCTGGTGCTGAAGAGTGGCTTCCATGGCAACAGAAAGGGTCACTGCCCACCCTCCACCCCCCATGTCATTCTTTTTTTGAACCTGAGGCTGAGTATCAGTTGCTACTCATCACTGTTTAAACTCTTAGTTGTCTGACAGTAGAGCTAACAGAAAAGGAAAGAACTCCACACATCTGTGGGTCCTGGTTTTGGTGGTCCTGCCCTCCCAAAGATGTATTCACCAAAAGCCGTGATTGTCACATTACTTGGGAAAACGTCTTTGCAGATTTAATTACACTGAGTATCTCAAGGCTCGAACATTCTGGATCATCAAGGGGGTCGCTAATCCAGGAAGAAAGACCTTTTAGAGAAAAGAGTAGAGGAAGGATTCCGACAACAGAGCAGGAAGCCACGCAGGGAGGCAGGCGGGGATTGGAGAGATGTGGCCGCGGCCGAGGCCATCTAACACCCCCAGAACCTGGACGAGCGCAGGCAGGACTTCCCAGAGCCTCCGGGAGGAGGAGGCCCAGCTAACCCCGACCTCAGGCTTCCAGCCACCCGGACCCTTACAGAATAAATCTCTGCTGTTTTAAGCCACCTGGTGACTTGCCAGGGCCGCCCTGCGAAACGAACACACCCGGCGGTGTGGTGTGGTCCGTGTCGCTCCCTCACGCTGCCTGCAGGGCTCCCGGAGCACCGCTCTCCCAGCCTCGGGGTGACACACAATCGTCCTAGCAGTAGGCACACTCTGGACCCACAGCCCCCGCTCTGCAAGCCGTGTGCCACTCTGATTTGGGGCTCTGACGGGTCGGAGCACAGCAAAGCCCACCTCCAAAGGCGGCTCTCTGCTGATCTCCTCCTGCGATGGTCTGACACGGCTTCACTTGACGCACAGATGCTAGTAGCTGGATTTTTAAACAGCCTTTCGGTTGATTTTCTTCTAGTATTTTTTCTTTTTAACTTTTTCATTTTTCAATAATTTCAGACTCACAGAATTTCAAGGATAGAACTGTACAGAAAACTCCCATATGCCCTTCACCCAAATTCTCCAGCTGTTAGATATTTTGCCACATCTGTGCTCTTCCTGTCTGTCTGTCTGTCTGTTTTATTCAAGTGAGTTACAAGCAACATTCTGTGCTCCGAAATTCCTTCGCATGTATTTGCTAAGAACAAACACCTTCTCTTACATTACTATCAAGTCCAGGAAATTTAACACTCATCCAATTCCATTATCTAGCAGACAGCCCAGGATCACAGGTGGCTGGTGGGCCCAATACGAAACCTCCATTTATATTTCTGGTGGGAAGATTAGATTCAAGTAGCCATCAGCAATCACTCAAGCCGTCGGGGAGGGCTGGATGAGGGACAGGACATTCACATGGCCACGGGAGTCTCCCCACAGACTGCCATCAGCCGCAGGGGGAAACGGTGCCTTTCCTCAAAGACCCAGGTGAGGCCCGCTCACCGGGAAACCCACGTCTCCTGCCTCTGGTGCCGAAGGTGCAAACTGAGGCTTTCTGTGAAACAGCTGGTCTAGAATCTTCCAGAACAGCAAAGTCATAAAAGATAAGCCCTGGGGAGTGCGAAAGTCAGAGGTGACAAAGGCGAGGCGACCAAGCACGGCAATCCTGGGTGGCCCAGAGCCAGGGGAGAATGCTAAACAGCGATCTTAAAAGTCACCAGCACAAGGGGCTGGGGATTTAGCTCAGCGGCAAAAGCGCCTGCCTGGCAAGCGCAAGGTCGTGAGTTCGGTTCCCGGTACCGGAGAAAAACCAAAAACAAAAACAAAAACAAAAAAAAGTCACCAGCACAGACGCTGGTCTCTGTCACTTTAAGATGTCTGCAGAACCCCAGCACCCATCACATGGTACTGAAGAAGGCCAGTCAAGACCACGCACAGAGAGCCCAGGATGGCACCTGCCACCCGCCCCGGCTGCGACCCCGGGCTGGCGGAGCCCCCAGAGACTACAGCAGGTGTCTGTGACATCCGCTCACCGGGAGCCACTGAGCCCCACTCACTTCCGCTCCTTCTTGTCCGTCGGCTTGTTGGTCTCCCGGAAGATGTTGGACAGCACCCCATCCGTCCAGTCGCGGGTGGTGGGGTCCAGGATGCCGTAGAGCTCGATGACACTCATGGCCTTGGGGTTCAGAATGTACAGCTTTGTTACGAGCCCCAGCCTACAAGGGAGGAGAGGGTTCGGCCAGCATTGAGGCACGCCACAACGCGGGAGCCCGCTGGGGGCCCAGGGTTGGAGCAGATGTCAGGAACCCGGGCCACAAGAACTCCCCAGGCTCCCGGGCGCTGCCCGGAGTTCGCACTGCATGAGTGGTCCTCGGGCCGCAGCTCTGCCTTGGGGCACCGGGAGCCCGGCTTCCACAACAACGTGTGTGTGTGTGTGTGTGTGTGTGTGTGTGTGTGTGGCTGAGGACTGTACCAGGGCCTGGCACTCAGCCTATTTTTTTAAAATTTTGAGACAGTATCTTGCTAAGTTGTCAAATTGCCCAGGCTGGGTTCACATTTGCAATCCTCCTGCCTCAGCTTCCCAGAGTGCTGGAAACATGGGTGTGTCTCATCATACCTGGCTCCAAGCCTTATTTACAGGACAACATCTGGCCTCAGCTACTACATCTGACAAACAGAGTCTTTCCCTTCATAGTGACTGAAAATTCCTCCCACGGTATGTGATTAAAGAAAACTAAACTTCACAACTCATGGTCCACAATTAACAAATAAAAATAGCAGGCATACAACAGGCCATACACACGCCTCTGCGATCGTTCTGCAAATTTACCTAACAGTGAACTAGCTAGAGAACGAAATACTCAATTGTTCAGGCAAAAACCACTTTTCTCACGTGAAACATGAGACTCATTTGCTGACGCGCGAAGATGTCACGGTGGGTTTGGCCGCTTGCTGGGACATCAGCACCGCTCAGGTCTTCCTGGAATCCGGTTATTGCCTAGGAGCGGAGCCCTTCCAGGAGACCAGCCAGTCCCTGAGGGCTCGCGGGAATTCTGGCCGCGCTGACGGCGCAGCGGCGCCACCCAGTGGTGAGTCCTGTCTTAGGCAAAAGGAGCGCTCTGAACGCCAAGGTAATGGCACCACTTAACGCCCACCGGCAAAACATCCTCATAAAACAGTTTGTGAAATGCTCGTTTCACAAGTAAACCTACACACTATCAGATGCACAAAAGGGCCTCTATTTAGCATTCTAAAATATATTAGCCAGGCCAGGTGTGGTGGTGCACGCCTATAATACCAGCACTGAAGGAGGCTGAGGCAGGAGGATCGCTTAGTGAAAATGTCTCAAAATAGAAAGGGCTGGGGATGCAGCTCAGTGGCAGAGCATCCTTGGGTTCAATCCCCAGTCTGGCAAAGAAAATTAATTAGTCAATTAATTAATTAAATGTGTTAACTCTATCAACAATGGAACAAGTGAAGCTACTCAGTTTAAAGGGGCTTTCAGGACAAATTTCCCCTCCCAGGAAGTCAGGGATCAAGGCAGGTGCAAGTAACTCTGTCACCCAATGTTTCCCTAGAAAGCAACCCGGCAGCCAGCACCCACCCAGCAGAGCCACACTCACTTGGTCTGGGCCTGGCACAGGGCACTGATGACCACAGACTTGCCCCCGCCCGTGGGTCCCACCACCATGGTCGTGTGCCGGGTCATCATGGTCTCGTACATCTGAACCACTTTATCCACCTGTGGGACAAGCACTGTAAAGAAACTATTTTACTGACAACGACCCCATACCCCGTGCAATTCACCCGGTCCAGCTTCAGGACAGTCACTGAGCTGTGTAACCGACACCCTACCGTCAATTTTCAGAACCACCCTTCCCTCCCAAACCCATCCCGCTAGCCACCTAACCCCATCCTACTGCGCCCCTGTCCAGCTCTCAGAAACCGTCACCCTGCTTTCTCCCTCCGTGGATTTGCCCATTCTGCACATTTCACACAAACAGAATCACATCACGTACGGCGTGGCGCCTGGCTTCTTTCACCAAGCACCACACTTTCAAGATCACATTATGGGTGTGTGTGACTCCTTCCTCTTCGTGGCTGTGTAATATTCCATGGTATAGATGGCCACAGTCTGTCTAGCCACTCATCAGGTGATGGACAGTGTGTTGTTGCCACTCCTGGCTGCTGTAAGCAGTGCTCCTGAGAGCATGCAGGACTGGGGTCCTCCTGGGTCTACCCCAAGGAACAGAAAAGCTGGGTCCAATGGCCACTGTTTAACTAGCTGAGGGACAGCCAGGCTGCGCCCAATGTGGCTTGTCATTCTACCTATCTGCCAGAAAAGATATCTTTTTTGTTTTGTTTATGGGGGACACTAAACAAAATACTTAAGTGATCTGATCCCATTGTGCCCCAAACAGTTGGAAGGTGAGATACAGATATGCATGCTGTGGAATATCATTCAGCCCTAAAAAAGGAACACAGCACTGAACAGGCTTTGACGTGGATAAGCCTCAAAAACACCATGCTGAGTGACAGAAGCCAGACACCACAGGACACAGCTGTGGGACTCAATTCCAGGTGGTCCCCAGAGGAGTCGAGTCCCTAGAAAGAGGAAGCAGGATGCAGGGCGGCGGGTAGGGCTGACGCACACGCAGCCTCAGCTCTGCACCGGGAAGAGCTCCACAGCTGGACGCGTCCGGGTTGCACAGCTGTGGTGCTGAACTGCGCTCCTCCGCAGCTCCGCAGTGAGTTTTACATCACTTACACTTCACCACGATCGTGATGACCGGGAGGCAAAGCTTGCACTGTGAACATTGTGCCTTTCTTCTCTGTAAAGAACCGTGAGGACCCGCGGGGGCCACAGGCAGCCGGGACGGCCGCTCACCTGCACGGGCAGCAGCGTGTAGCCGCCGTCCACCAGCACCTGCTCCACGGCGTCGTTGAAGTCGGGGTAGCGCACGCGCGGGCAGTCCAGCCCCGGGAACAGGTCGGAGATGAGGCCCAGGAAGAGGGGCACGTCCTCGAAGATGAACTTGGGCAGGTTCATGTCCCGCAGGGCCCTCATGAGCACCACGTCCTGGGCCGGAGGGGACACCAGTTCTGGGGACCACCTGGGACCCCGCGAGCTGGATTCAGAGGGACGTTTCGGTACTGGGGACTGAACCAGGCCCTTCACAACCGCCTTTCTGTAACAGTTTTTATTTTGAGACTGGGTCTCACTGAGTCACTAAGTTGCCCAGGTTGGACTCCAACCTGTGATCCTCCTGCCTCAGCCTCCCAGATTGCGCCACCATGCCCATCTACGGCATCATATTATATACATGATATGTATAACTACACGTATTGCATAATTATGCATGGTTTTAAATTATGTATTTCACAGAAAATTTTAAATTCTAAAAGAATGTCACTTAATTTCATATACGGTATAAAACTTTATGTAGGTAACAGTTTAGATAAAACTTTTTGTTAAATGATATTTTATATGAAATGGCGAAGATTTTTTAATTGTAATTTATCTTTCAAAATTGTATATGAGAATAAAAAAAAACAAAATGGAATCTATAAAAATGGAGTATAAAGGCCAGGCATGGTGGAGCATACCTGTAATCCCAGCACTCAGGAGGCTGAGGCAGGAGGATCACCTCGAGTTTGAGACCAGCTTGGGCTACAAATCAAGACTCTGTCTCAATGCCCCCCCGAAAAAACATGGAGTATGAAAATTAAATGAACACGTGCGGGACCCATGGGGACACAGCCTGCCAGGAGTGGTCACCGCAGAGTGGGCAGGAGACGGAACGGAGGGAGAGCTGCCCGGGACCCAAGCCTGCGGCCGAGCACTGCACCGCGCCCTCGCCGGCTGCAGGGCACCTCGGGGAGCAGACTCGCAGGACGCACCTCGCGCAGCTCTGAGGAGCCCCTCTTCAGCTCCCCCGCCATGACCAGCACCGACTTCAGGGCGCGGAGCCCGAAGTCGTAGTGGTGCTGCTTGGACAGCTGCTCCCGCGCCAGCTTGTACAGCACCGTCATCTTCTTGGCCAGCGACTGCGGACAGAGGCGGGGCAGAGGCCGGCGCTGCGCCAGTGAGCACACGGGCTCCCGGAAGACCCCGAGCCGACCGCTGAGAGCACGCGGAGCCGGCCCTGAACCCCGGCCAAACCCGAACCCGACCCAAACCCACCCCGCCCCACCACCGGAAAGGAGGCGCCCCTCGTGTCCAACCACGGCCACCAGGGCCGGTCTCCTCGGCCCCGCCTCCCGGAGTCTGAGCCTGCCCCGAGCCCCACCAGGAACGATGAGGTGTGTTCATGGTGACCCAGACCTGTCCCCAGGACGCCTCCTGCACCCGTCTCCAAGGACTCTGGGTCAGGAAAATAAACGAGCCCGCAACCCGCACAGCCAGGATCCTGGCAGCCCGGCGAGCAGCAGCAGCCTTCCGAAAACAACTGCCGCGGAGCGTCAGCGTGACTCCTCAGCTAAAAGCCCCCGCGGGCTGTGCGGTCCCCAGAACCGCCCAGAAATAGCTGTGTGCGTGTTTTATAGCGATCTTGAAAGAGGATGTTATAAAAGACACATGGACAGATACACACACACACAGAGCTACATAGGATATTCACACTGGCAGCACACGCCTATAGTCCCAGCTACCGGGGAGGCTGAAGCCGCAGGATCACAAGTTTGAAACCAACCTTGCCACCTTAGCGAGACCCTGTTCAAATTTAAATAATAATAACAACAACAACAATAATAAAGCCTCATAGTAACAATGGAGCTCCACGGTAGAACTTGCCTGGCGTACACATAGCCCTAGGCTTAATCCCTGGAACCTCAAAAATCAGATCTCTTGAAAGAAGATACTATGAAAGAGATTGATCTATCCACATATCTATAAAGTACATATATTAAAAGGATATTATAGAAGATACACATATAAATGGCAGTATTCTCAGACGTATAATTTTTTAATTTAAACTGTGACTTCGTGAAGGGTTCACCAGGTCTCTGGGTGACTGGTGTCACAACTTCTTGTGAATCTTAAACCTTCCAAAACTAACAGGGCTTTTTTGGTTGGTTGGTTAGTTCGTTGGTTGGTTGGGGTTGTTTTATTTGTTCTTTTTGTGGTCCTGGGTATTGAACCCAGGTTTTTGCACTGAGCTACAACCCCAGCCCTTTTTATTTGTTTATTTTATTTTGACACAGATTTTGCTAAGTTGCCCAGGCTAGACTGGAACTCGCAACCCTCCTGTCTCAGCCTCCCAGAGTGCTAGGATTACCAGCGTGCACCATGGAGGTTGGATAGAAGCTGTCATTTTAAGAAGAGAGAGAGAAAGCGAAGACATCTGCAGCATGCAGAGGGAGGGGCCTGGCAGCCGCACCCACCTTGGCCCCCAGGAAGCCCTCGGAGAAGAGCATGATCTCGCAGATCTGTTGCAGGTCGGGCACGATGACCACCACGGGCCGGAACAGCGCCTTCACCGACTCGGGCAGCTCCGTGCGGCCCGCGTAGCCCGGGTTCATGGTGATGAAGATGCCCATGCGCGCGTCCAGAGAGATCTCCTGCCCTTCAAACTGCAGGCAGCGGGGAGGTTGCAGGCAGCGCTCCCGGGAGGCACTGTGTGACCCCAGCAGGGCACGCAGCCTCTCTGAGTCTTGGTCTGCTTTCCCGCAGGGTGGGACACACGCGGTAGGAGCGACCTTCCTTCCGCGGACGTCAGCCGTGTGCCGGCTCCGTGGGAAGTCGTGGGGAATCACAACCCCGCCCGTCAGAGATGAGGCTCATCTGGGAAGCCGGACCGTCCCCACCGGGAAACAGGCCTCCTACCACCCGCCACCCGAGTGGCCCCGGTCTACAGAGCAGACCGCCAGGACGCCGCGCTCACGGCCTCACCTGGAAGGTGGTGAGCTGGTGGATGAGCGCGTTGCGGATCGTCTGGATCTGCGAGGAGATCACCGACAGCACGGACGCGTCGATGCGGTTGAACTCGTCGAAGCAGCCCCAGGCCCCGCACTGCGCCAGGCCGGAGAAGATCTTACCCACGGCCTGTGGGGACCCCGCGGCAGGGCGTCAGGCCGAGGGCCAGGCCTCCCGATGGGCGCATCTTCTACGTTCAACGACGGCTCGTCCACCGGGCAGAGGCCGGGTCCCAGCCCCCCTGAGAAGGTCTGTCTGGGAAGACCCCAAAGCCCCTCCAGGCCCCTTACACCCAGTAGTTTATAAATCAAGGTGCAGCCTCTCCTGAAATGTTGAAAATCCAGTGACAGCCGCCCCCTTTCCCAAGGGGCCTAAGGAACCGGGGCTCTGCGGTGGCCACATCCACCAGTCCCTGTGAGCGCTGTGGGCCACCGTGCCGCCATCGCCCTGTCTGCTAAGCACGGAGGTGCGAGGCCAGTGCTGGGGGCCGTTGGCGGGGGGCTGGCCTGAGCGGTGGCCATCCCTTCGCAGACACCTGGGAAGTGTCTCGTGCCACGCACAGACGACCCCGGGCAGAAGCAGACAGCAGGCGCGGCGGCAGGGCCTTACCTTGTAATCCATGCCCTCACCGCAGTTGGTGACGACACACAGCAGGCCCAAGGCCTTGGCCAGGTCCTTGGTGGTCTCGGTCTTGCCGGTTCCTGCCGGGCCGGCGGGGGCACCGCCCAGGTACATGGACAGCGCCTGTGAGGGCCAAGGGCCGGGTGAGAGCGGAAAGAGGTGCAGCTCTGAGCTCGTCACTGTGCCGACGAGGACACACCCGGGAGGGTCTGTGGAGAACGGCCGTTAGGCTGACGGTCAGCCTGACGGGGCGGGGAGCTGTGGGGACAGCCGGTGGCGAGGGACTTCTGGGCACCCCGGGGCACCGGAGACACACACCCACTGATACCGGCAGGCTGGAGCAGGAGTGCTGCCCAGGACGGTAGCACCGCCCAGGCCACTGGGGATGGGAGGGGACGAAAGGCCGAGGAAGGCGCATCCTCCACGCCTGAGGCTCGAGCTGGGACTGCGCCCCTGGTTCTGGGCCTTCGCCCCAACACCACCAGCTCCTGTCGGCTGCCCGGCCACCCGAGCCCGGGACACTGCAGAGCACAGGCGCAGAGGCCGCCGGCCAGCTTGGTCGCGGAAGCCAAGGCCTCCTAGCGTCTCTTCCTATGTGTGTGCATGTGCACGCGTGTGCATGTGTGTACATGTGTGCGAGCATGTGCATGCATATGCGTGTGCGTGCGTGTGTCGGGGGAAGGAGGTCCTGGAGAACCCTGACGGAGGCAGACAAGCCCACACCCTTATTTCTGGGGAGAGGCGGGGCGTCATCCCACAGCCCCCCGCAGCGCAGGTGCCCGTCCCCACGGCACTGACCCCGCCGCCAGGCACATGAGCTGGGTCTCAATGGGGAAGCCATGCGAGCTCAGCACACTGTCCCCCGGCAGGGAGGGGGATGCCCCCACAGACCTGCCTGGACTCCGCCATGCCCGGAGCCAGACACAAACACAGCTGCCTCCTCTCCCGGGGCACCCTCTCGCCCTCGGGCCGTTCACAGGGCGGGTCACCCGGAACAAGGACCGTCACAAGGTGGGCAAAAACGGGGCACCCCGGCCCCTCCCGACGGCCACCACCCGTGACCTTCACGCACTTTCCGCTGACATCCACGGGACGCCCGCCCCTCGCCGTGAGCGCCCGGGGCCTGTGCACTGCGCCGTGAGCGGGAACCCGTCTGGTGCCTGGTGACGCCCGATGGCTGCCCCAGGAGGCTCAGGAGGGGACAGGGCCCTGTTCCCCACAGGAATAGGAGGCTCCTCCCACCCACGTCCGCATCCCCGCCAAGGCTGGGGCTCGCGGCCGTCACCTGCGTGAGCGTCAGGTAGATGCGGTCGGTGAGGGGCGTGATGACCAGGCGCCCATTGAGCCCCATGTACTCGTAGCCGTAGCCGAAGGTGCCCGTGCACTGGCGGATGTTCAGCTCGTCCGGCTCCCGGTCCCAGTAGAACCGCAGCTGACTTTCCCACTCGAACTCCCGCGCCTCGAGGATGCTGGGCGGGGGCAGAGGGCAGAGGGACAGGGCTGGGCGGGGGGCCACAGAGCCGCACGGCACCCCAGCCTGGACGCCACGCCCGGGGGGACGCACCTGCCGCGGATGAAGGAGTCCACGATGTCCCTGGCGTGCACGTCGATGATGAGGACCGTGTTGTACTTCTTCCTGTCGTTCCTGCTCAGGGGCGCGGTGATGCGCGTGACCAGCTCGTCGATCTGATGGTGCATCTTGCTGCCGAAGTGCTTCATGGCCTGCTTCTCCCCCGCCTTCACCTTGCGGAACACGTCCTCCACCTCCCAGGTCCACCACACCTGGCTGGCGGCCAGCACCACCATGCCCTGGTACAGCAGCATCCAGTCCACCCTAGGGGACAGCGCGCTGTGAGCGGCGGGGACCGGCCGGGCTGGTGTCTGTCCTGGCTGTGGTGGCGCCCTGTGACCCCAGCACTCTGGGAGGCTGAGACAGGAGGATTGCCAGCTCAAAGCCAGGTTGGGCACCTCAGGGAGACCCCGTCTCAAAATTTTAAAGAAGGGCTGGGGATGTAGCTCAGTGGTACAGCACCCCTGGGTTCAATCCCAGTACCAGGAAAGAAATATACTTAGTAGGATGGGTTTATTGTAAGAAGTTAAAACAAAATTCTAGCAAGAACCATCACCCTCCCTGGCAGGTCTCCTTCCGACTGCCTGAGCTACAGCTTCCTGGGGCTCCTTCCTTCTCATCCAAACCAGAGACACAGGAAGGGGTGGCATCGTCTCTCCAGACAGATTGATTCACATGAGTCCCTCTGGCCCTACTCTCCCTTACTAATCTTGGCGGCCACCTGCAGGTCTCGGGGGATCAGGGACACACTTCAGGCTGTCTTGCATCAGCTCCTGAGAGCACATGGTGGAATGTTCCGGAATGTTCCGGAATGTTCTGGAATCATGCAGGCTGGTTATTAAGCCCTCCCTGCTCTGCCATCGAGCCATGACATGGGCCGTGTGGGAAACACACTAAGGAACCGATAAGAGCTCTCATCAAAGCTGCTTTCTCCCCAGAGCTGGTTCGCCATGGAGCAGAGTGACACATACCTGATTGTGTACAGATGGGAGGGTGTGTGCGGTGCATGAGAGAGACAGAGACTGGGGATTGAACCCAGGGCTGAGCTACGTCCCCAGCCTTCTTTAATTTTTGAGACAGGGTCTTACGAAGGCATTAGGTTGCCCAGGCTGGACTGAAACTTGCAGTCCTCCTGCCTCAGCCTCCCAGAGTGCAGGGATCCCGGGTGTTTTTAACAAGCTCCATGTCGCATTGCAAAGCGCTGCCCCGGGGGAGGCGATCACTGGAAGGCCGCTGACTTCGAGCAGAGACCAGAGCTCCCCCGGCCCTTGCACGGCCTCGGCTCCCCGGGTCACCCTCACCTGCTCCTGTCCTCGCAGTACTTGAAGATGGCCTCCTTGGTGATGAGCCTGTTGGTCCTCCGCATCTCGCGCAGCACGGCCGTCATCCAGTCCTCCACGCGGCCCTCGGCGCGCACCAGCTTCCGGAAGCCCATGGCCTCCCCCTCGGCCGAGACCATGGCCGACACCAGCTTCTCTCCGCTCTCGCCGTCACTGAACCGCAGCAGCGCTATGTTGTCGTACATCTGCGGAGCAGAGGCCGGCGCGGCCCTGTCACTCTCGCCACGTGAGCGTTGCGCGCATGTGCGTTGTGCGTGCGCGTGCACGGCGCGCGCCAGGCGGGTGCTCGACCCTGAGCCCCCAAGCCCCGGTGCGCTGCCTGGTGCTGCACCCCTGCCTCAGTGCAGCGGGCGAACTGCACAGCTCGGTGCGGCAGAGGCCCACCCTGCGATCCCGGCCGCTCGGGAGGCTGAGACAGGAGGATGGCAACTTCCAGCCCAGCGTGGGGCTCGGCAGCAGAACACTTGCCTAGCACACGCAAGGCCCTGGGTTCCATCCGCAGGACCGCCAAAAATATAAACAAACAAGCAAAATATAGAGCTGACTAGCTGATATCCGGCCACCCTCTGCCCAACCTCACAAGGGACAGTTTCTCTGCTGCTTCCCGCCAACATATAGGTCTTGGAGCTAGGATGTATGTGTGCGCATGCGTGTGTGCACCTGTGTGTGTGTGTGTGTGCGCGCCTCTGTGTGTGTGTGTGTGTGTGTGTGTGTGTGTGTGTGTGAGCACGCACACAAAAAAGAAATCGTGAGGAGGAAAAACCACTCCCGAGTCCCGACAGTGTCTGTCTCCCGGAAGCAGAAGAGCTGAGTGGAGGGCGGGACGGGGAGCGCGCCAGCTTCACCATGAGCTCCACGGGGGGAGAGAGGAGTGGCTGAGGGGTGTCACGTGTCAGTCCTGGTGGGTGCTGCTGAGGTCCCCGGGCCCACAGGGGACGCAGGCGCCGGCCTAAGACTTCGTCATGCGACGTCTTCACGTCCTAACAGCCCCCCGGAAACAGGCGTCCCTCCCGCCGTGCCCGCGGCGCGCACCTTGATCATGTGCTCCTGCACGCACATGGGGTCGCTGCTGCCCAGGATGCTGAGCAGCTCGTCGTCGGAGATGAAGAAGAAGCGCGGGAAGGCGTTGCGCTTGGAGTCCAGGTAGTCGTTGAGGCTCTTCTGGCTCTTCTCCAGCCCCTCGGCCACGTGCTGCAGGTCGGCCAGGCGGTTGGGGGCCTCGCAGCACCTCTTGATCACCGGGTCCTTCAGGGTCTCGCCCATGATCTGTGCGGGGAGAGGCGCCCTGTCACCGGGCGAGGTGATGTGCCTTGTCCTTTCCACACTTAACCAAGCAACTGATACTTTCCTAAAGAAGATGAGCCTAAGAAGGCACACTGTCATATGTATTTGTTCTATTTTTCTACACTTCCCAAAATTCTTAGCCGGGCGTGGTGCGCAGGCCTGTTATCCCAGCCCTCCGGAGGCTGAGGCAGGAGGATCTCCATGAGTTCAAGGCCAGCCTGAACTACACATCAAGATCTTGTGTCAAAAGAAAAGTTCTTGAGCAGATATTACTTTTATAATAAAAATAAGCACAAAATGGATCGCTGTCAGGGGCCAACAGCTAAGGGTCAAAAAGAAGTTTTTACCAAACCGATGAAGATGACATAGCATGACTGACAAAATGCAGACTCCTGAGCAGAGGAAGCGCCCAGGTGAACAGCGAGGAAGGGCCTCCCTCCCGTCCCGTCCCCCGAGGCGGCCCCCGCCGTCACTTGCCCTCCGGAACACTCTGTCGATGTTGTCAAACTTCTTCGCCTCGTCCGGGAGCTGGGACCGGATGTCGCCCCCGATGAAGATGCTCTCGAGGTACATCCACTTCCTCTGCACCAGCATCCAGCTCTGTGAGGAAGCGCCCATCAGCGGGGCCCAGAGCTCCACGCAGGGACGGCGCCACCCCGCCAGGGACAGGGTCGACGGGCCCGGTCCAGGGCATTCCGGGCTGGGCAGCAGGTTGAGCAAACACACGGCCGGCAGCCCACACCCCAAGCCCCAGCAGACCCGAGCCATGGGTTCCCTTCCCATGACTTCCGTTCTCTGAGGCCAAGCGTACCCCGAAAATACAGCAACATGAGAGATTCTGAGAGAGAGAGAGAAAATATCCCCGAGACTTTCATTACGCTATATTGTTACGGCTGTTCTGTTTTATTTTGCCTGTGTTAATCTCTTTTTTGTTGTGTTTTTTGTTTTTTGTTTTTCTCCGGTACCAGGAACCGAACTCACGACCTTGCGCTTGCCAGGCAGGCACTTTGCTGCTGAGCTAAATCCCCAGCCCCGCCTGTGTTAATCTCTTACTGAACGTAATTTGTAAATCACACTTGCTCATGGTGAAGAATACGGAAAACACGGTTTGTCCAGGTCGCGGTTCTGTCTGCGGTTTCGAGCACGCCTGGCGCATCCTGGAGCACATGCCCGGGGTGAGGGGTGACTATTGTGCAGAAATCCAGAGGAAGCAAAGCAAAATAGCTTCAGATGCACAGTCGAAAGAGCAAAAACAAGCAGAGTGTGGTGGATCCCCCCAGTAATCCTAGCACTTGGGGAGGCTGAGGCAGGAGGACTGCCAAGTTCAAGCCCAGCCTGGACCACTTACTGACTCAGCAAGACCCTGTTTCAAATTTTAAAAATCCAAAGGGCTGCGGATGTAGTTCAGCGCGACAGCACTGGGTTGGATCCCCAGTATGCAAAAGGAGGAGGAAGAGGAAGAAGAGAAGTGAACTCTCCACGCCAGTCCAGGAAAGGAAGAAAGTCCGAGTTAGGAGCAGAGCTTGGAGCCCTGTGACCCGCAGCCCTCAAAGGCAGGTAGTGCCAGGACAGTCACGTGCCACATGCTCAGAAGCTCCCTGTCTAGGTCTTGCCCAACAGAACTGACCACAGACTCAAACAAGGAACCAGACAAATGCTGCCTGTCCACACTAGGGAATATTATTTGGCCATGAAAAAGGAATGGAGCCCCACAGGCTACAACACGGATGAACCCTGAAAATCTTACGCTAGGCACAAAGGCCACGTAGTGTCTGGCTCCATTTACGTGAAATCTCCAGAGAGAAAAACCCAGGGAGACAGAAGGTAGCTGCATGACCAGGGAATGGGGTAGGGGGTGACTGTTTAACGGGCTTGGGGTTCTCTCAGGGCTGTGAGAATGTTCCGGAAGCAGGCAGAGGTGGTGGGCTCACTCTGTGGATGTACTAAGCGTCACGGAACATTCACTCTAGCGAGGTTCATTCCGTGTGATGTAATTTGCGCTTGTATTGTAATTTAAAAATTAAAATTTTAAGAGTTTTAAGTAACAAAGAGAAGTCAATGCTACATCTACAGAAGGGCTCCCACATAATAGTAGAAAGCCACAGACAAAACAAGTCAGCAAGCCAAGGGAGTTCAGGCATGTGGGGCGCCCAGGCCAGGGTCCCATCCCGGGCCAGGGAACCAGGCTGGACACCAGGGCTTTGCCCCCCAGGCCCCAGGCAGGGGCCAGGAACAAGGTGCTTGGGGGCTGCCTGGGAGGGAAGGTGCCACAAGACAGGAAGAGCCTGGGTGGCTCTGTGAGGTCCGGACCAGGGCTGCCCACGAAGGAAGAACGCCCCAGACCGCTTAGTGCAGGGCCCGTCTGCAGCTGGTGGAGGGTCAGGCCAGGATGCAGAGGCCACAAAAGCAGACAGAAAGGGAAGCAGCACAAACAGAAAAACAATCACTGGAAAACAAAACAAAATGATAAAAATGAACTAAGAAGAAATGGAAATCACACAGAGAAAAGCCCACCACAAGGGACCAACAACAGACACAGAAAAGAAAAGAATTCTCGCCCAGGACAGTGGAAAGTCCAGAGAGATCCGCAAGGGAGTTTAAAGTGCAGATGTCCACCATTCTCAGCGCATAAAGGAAGTGGATGCACTCTTGCAACAAGATCAGGACAGGCCTAAAAAAGAACAGGGACACACTAAAAGAAAAACAATTAACCATCTTGGAAATTTAAAATGTATCCATTGAAATGAAAACTCAGACCAAGCCAGGCGTGGCGCTGCACGCCTGTAATCCCAGCACTCAGGAGGCTGAGGCAGGAGGATCGTTGTGAGTTCGAGATCAGCCTGGGCTACAAAGTGAGCTCAAGGCCAGCCTGAATTGCATAGCGAGACCCTGTCTCAAAAAGACCAAAAAAAAAAGAAAACTCAGATCAAAGCCTAGAGTAGGGGCATACCCCTGTCATCCCAACAACTCTGGAGGCTGAGGCAGGAGGATAACAAGCTGGGCTACACAGTGACTGAGATGTTGTCCAAAAGAAAAAATATAAAAAAGGGCTGGGGCTGTAGCTCCAGGGTAACACCCTTGGTTCCATCCCCAGTAATGCCAGAAACTCCAACCACACACTCGTCCCCCAAAACAAATCAAGACAGAGGAGCCGGAGAGAGGCTGTCGGGCCCCGGCCGCGTCCCCACCTCGATGACCTCCCCGATGAGAGACAGCGTCTTCTCCCACTTGTGCACCGTCTGCAGAAACGGCCCCACGAATCTGCTGCCCGAGATGCTCTGCAGGTTGACCACGTTGTCATCCAGACACTGCACGATCTCGTCCACGGAGCCCAGGATGTAGCCGCGCTCCTGCGTGCCCTTGTAGTACTTCACCACCGAGAACTTCATGACCTCCCACGTGTCCAGGATCTCCTTCACGGCCTGTGCGGACAGGAGAGGACCGTGACCCCCGCCCACAACACCGCCTCTGCTGCTGGGACCCCCACTCCAGCGCAAGACAGTGGTCGGGTGTGGGAGGGGTCAAGGTTCTTCCAGGCCACAATCGTCCCCGCTGCCACGGGCTGGCGCCATGCCACGGAAGCGTGTAAAGCGTGTTACACAGATGGTCTCACGCTGGTCTCATCCAGTTCCCGAGCAACCCCACATGGTAGGGTCACTAACACAGAGACCAGGCTCAGGCGGTGACACGGCCCGTGGAGGCCCGGCTACAGGGCACCGGGAGCCGGGCTGAGCAACTCAGCGGGTCGCAGGGCCCGCACACTTCCGGGTCTGCCCTCGGTGTCCTCTACTGCTGAGAAGCTCTAGTGAGAAAGCAGTGTGCCTCTGTGATGCCATTTCCCAGGGCTGTGTCTATGGCTAAGTCCCTGGGTAAGGGATCTGTGCATGCCTATGTAGATGTGCACATTAGGCATGTGTGTGCACATATGTGTGTGAATACAATGTGTAAATGGGTATCTATATCAGTACGTGAGCAGGTGTGTGCCATGCATATGTTCCCATGTATTTATGTATATACAAGTTGTGACTGAAATGTACAGTAAATGTTTACATTTTAAAAACTGATTAAGGGCTGGGGATATAGCTCAGTGGCACTAGTGCCTGCCTAGCAAGCGCAAGGTCCTGAGTTCGATTTCCAGTTCAAAAAAAAAAAAAAAAACTGATTAAGCCAGGCATGGTGGCGCACACCTGTAATCCCAGCACTCGGGAGGCTGAGGCAGGAGGATCATTGCAAGTTCAAGACCAGCCTGGGCTACAAAGTGAGCTCAAGGCCAGCCTGAACTGCATAGCAAGACCCTGTCTCAAAAAGACAAAATAAAATAAACTGATTACAGTAACAAATGAATCCCTTCCAGGTCCTGCCCTGCTTCAAACATTTTGACCCCGTCATCCTTGCCACTTTTGGGAGCAGCTCTGGACCCGCTTTGCTGTCTTTACAAGGCGTGACCGAAATATAGCGACTGCTGCTGCTGCTGAGCGCCACGCCACAGAAAGGCAGCTCGTGAAAGCCTGACGCTGCGTCCGCATCCACCTCGGTCACCAGATCTGGCCCTGTGCTGACAAGAACAGATGCTACACTTGATCTTAGCCAAAAGGCCAAGAAGCGACGTGGCCCTGTGCAACTTCCCTCTCCTCCCCAAAGTCACAGTGGCCGTGGAAGGTCAACCATCTGAACCCATCCAGGACACTGAGGCGGCCCTGACAGTGCAGCTACAGACACTCAGGGAGGGGGACGCCAGCACTGCTGCAGAAAGGGCAGAGCGATGGGATGAGTGTGCTCAAAGGGAGGGGGAGCCTTTGGAGGCGGGCTCAGGGCAACGTGTGTTTCACTGTAACACTTTTTTTAAACTTTAAACATTCACTCCCCGTTTTGGCCACACCTTGTCCATAGATGTGTGTGTGTGTGTGTGTGTGTATAATCATGGAGGTGTGCATATGTCATGAGTGGGTCTGTGTGCATGCACACGTGTAGCATGTGTACAGAGACATGTGTACATGCGTGTATACATGTGTACACATGCTTTTTTCCTAAGTCAAGAAGGAAGTCTATCGAACATTAGTAATAGTTATCTTCAGGTGGTGAGAGTGTGAGTGATCGGCTTCTCTTTTAATTTTCTACCATGAAGATCCATTATTCTACAATAAACAAATGAGAGTCAAACTATGATCAGGAACAGGAGAAAAGCTAAGTGAGGCGGGAAAATCCCCTTTCAGAGCAAAGGGTTCTTGAGCCAGGCGTGGTGGGGCACACCTGTAATCCCAGCACTCGGGAGGCTGAGGCAGGAGGATCACTGAGAGTTTGAGGCCAGCCTGAGCTACAACGTGAGCTCAAGGCCAGCCTGAACTGCACAGTGAGACCCTGTCTCAAAAGGACAAAAAAAGAGTTCCTTATCACTCAACCCAACAAACCCTGCAGCAAACCCTGCGGGCTTCCTCTCTGAAGGAACCACCGTTCTCCCCCGATGAGTGAGATCTCCACCCAGCGCCAACACGCACTGCTCAAAATGTTTTAAGCCCTGAAACGCCTCTCCGGCCGCAGCCCCTTCCCGAGCGCAGCGCCTCTCACCTTCTCGATGGCGACCTCCTTGACGGCGGCGGTGACAATCTCGTTGAGGATGTCCGTGTGCCTGTGCAGCTCCATGGCAAACATGTTTTCCAGAGTGAACGTCTCCGTCATTTCAAAAAAGACGCCTGTCTTCTCCATCAGCTCTTTCCAGTGCCTAGGAGCGCAGCAGGATAAAGAAACCTTCACGCTGGCCAAGTTGGAGACGCACGGATCACCCCGAGGAGACCCCAGGTGAACGGCGTGGGGGGGACTGGAGGGGTCGGACCCAGGCTCGCTGGATCCCGTTGTTCCGGATCCCGCCAGCCGTCCAAGTGGCCCGGGAAGCAACATACAGCAGGATCGCGTCCGTGCCCGTCCTCACAGCCCTCAAGGACACACACAGCTTGGCCCTTCGCCCGCTGTGACTGCACATTGTTTTGTGGCATCGGTTCATTACCGGTGCTCAGGACCAAGCCTGGGGCCTCGCCACGCAAGGCAAGCGCTAACCACGGGGCGACGCCTCGGCCCCTGCAAACTGCTCCGAGCACTGCAACAAAGGCACAGCCTGGCAGAGGACAGAGGGGCTGCCTCAGACAGGAGGCCCTGCTCACCGAGCTCACCTTCGGCACCGGCTCGGGCCCGGCCCGGCCTCCCTTCGAGGACCCCACCTGGCCTGTGGGTTTGCCCAAGTCTGTGCTCCCACGATGTGGGGTGGACAACGACGAGGCTGCCGGCCGCGGTGCAGGATGGCGGAAAGCCGGGCCCCCACACAAGGGCCTCCGCGCTGGGTCACACACCGGAGGGCCCAGGAGCGGTCAGACTGCTGCTCCTTCCACCTCTGTATCCCGGCCAGCCCAGGAGCTGACGGGAAGTTGGGCAGTGTGACTCTGGTCACCGGCTAGGGGTCCACAGACTGGACATCCCACAACACAGGCTCACCCGGGACAAGGGGACCCCGTCCGTCCCCCTCCCAGCCTTCTGCTTCTGTCAAAGGACAGGTCCGGGGTGGGTACGCTGTGTGCCTGACACACCCTAAAGGCCGGGCCTCCTGCAGGCCAGGTGAGTTTCAGCTAAATTTTTTTAAATTACATTTTTTTTGGCCAGGCATAGCAGTGCACACCTGCAAGCCTGTAACTGGTGCGAGTTCGAGGCCAGCATGGGGTACACGGTAGGACCCCGTCTCAAAAAAGTACTTTTACTTTTGTAATTCCTGTCTATTTCTGGCAAGAGCTTTTGGTGTTTTTGCTTACACTGGTGAAACAAGTTTCTTTTCAGATTGCATTCATTTCAGTAATAAAAGAAACTAGCTGGGCATAGTGGTGCATGCCTATAATCCCAGCACTCAGGAGGCTGAGGCAGGAGAATCACAGAGAATTCAAGGCCAGCAAGACCTTGTCTCAAAAAAAGAAAGAGAGACAGAGAGAAAAACAAACTGATAAAAGCAAAAAAACCGTGACAGTATAGGTGAGGTCCATGTCTGACTCACATCATGGAAAGGGGCCAGAGTTCGAGACACCCTGGGTGACAGGGTCACAGAGCTGGGACCTGCCCTCAGCAAACACTCTGAGTTTCACAGCTTAGAACAGTGACACATGCAAAGGAGGCCAGCCAGCGAGGACAGTGACGCAGATGGCTAAGCACCAAAGTCCCTGGGCCTGAGGGACAAACAGTGAAACAGAGCTGTCCAGTGTACATGAGCACTTAGGAGAGACTGTCTCAGCCAGGTATAGTGGCGCATGCCTGCAATCCCAGCATTCTAAGAGGCTGAGGCAGGAGGCTCTCAAATCCATACCAAGCCTAGGCAACTTAGCAAGACCTTGTCTCAAAATAAAATTTAAAAACTTAAAAGGGGCTGGGATGTAGCTCAGTGCAAAGACCCTGGATTCAGTCCCTAGTACCACATACACACACACACACATACACACGCATAAGATTCCTTGGGGTGATGATTTTCTATGTGCCATCTGATAATTTTCTACGATGCCAGCTATCTGCAGCTCTGTGTCACTGCTGGAACCCCGTCCTCTGTCACCAGGTCTCAGCAGGGAACATCTTTAAGGAAAGGCTCCCCCCATGCACCCACGGCGGCCAAGCAGGACACAGCCCACCTGTCTCTTAGCGCCTCGTGCTTCAGGTCGAGGAGCAGAGGGATGGAGTCTTTGAAGGCCTTCATCTTCGCCTCCAGGTGGTAGGCCACCGACAGGGCGCGCACGGCCCGGGGCAGCTTCTTGAGCGCCTTGAAGTAGCCGTCCACGCCCTCCTGCAGCAGCTGCACGTTCAGGTTGATCCACAGCGTCTGAGACCAGTCCTCCTTGGCAGCCTGCGGGCGCAGGGAAGCGCACATCTGTGAGCACCGAGGGGGCGAGCCCCGGCTCTGGCCCCGCTCACCCCTCTGAGGACAGCACGCCCGTCCGTCCGTCTGTCCCTCTACCCATGGCACGCCAAGGGTGCACAGGAAGGACCTCAAACCGTGGGACAAGACCCGAACGCACCCCACTCGGTGACCACAGAGACACATTTCCCCGAGGGGTACAAAGCCCTTTCTGGCAACTCCAGCACCCAGCCTGACAAAGTCACAGGTTGTGGAACGCAGCAAGTGTTGTGTCCCCCACGGCCGGCACTGAGGGCTCTGGCTTCGGCCCTCGGTGTGCGTGGTCGCACGACCTCTCTGCCTTTGTCATTTCTCCCCCGTCTTCCCGGGAGGCACAGAACGCTCTAGAGGGGACTCTCGCGAGCTGCTTCCTCCTCCGCGCAAGACGCAAACTGGGGAAACCCTGAGGATGCCGGCGCCCGTCCCGGCCCCCCTCGGTGCCCTCCGTCCTGGCTCTCGCCCCGCCTGGGCCTCTGCCCCGCCCTCTCCTCCCTGCCCGCGGCCGGGGCCGCCCGGTGCCTCAACACTCACAGCATGGCACCGCCAGACCCTGCCCCCGGGCCCCAGCCTAGGTCCAGGCCCGATCCCTGCCATTGGCTGCCCCATGCCCCCTCGGCCGGGCAGCCCACCCAGACCCCGCCTCCGCTCACCCCGCTGTGCGCACCTCTGGGGAAACGGAGCAACCCAAACTCCCGCGGAAGCGCCCCACACACACCTCCCCGGCGACCACAGGCGGAACTACCTGCCCCGCTGAGGCCAGCCCTCGGGCCTGCCCTGTCCCATGGAGTGGAGGGCCCAGGCGTCGCTGAGGCAGCCCCCCGCCCGCCCCAGCTCCAGCCTCTCCTCTGTGCTGGGCTCCTATCGCAGACACACTCGCCGCCATCTCTCCACACGTGCCCCCGCCAGCACCCCCTGCTTAACACCGAAACCCGGGAAAACGCGTCAGTGCTCAGCGCCTCCGGCTCCTCTCTCCCGGTGCTCAGTGTTTCTCTGCTTGTTTGGGTTTTCTCCGGTACCGGGAATCAAACTCAGGACCTTGCGCTTGCCAGGCAGGTGCTGTGCCACTGAGCTACATCCCGGGCCCCCTCGGTGTTTCTTTTAACAGCTTTCTGTCGGCTCGTTTGTTGTTTCTGAGACAGGGTCTCCCTAGGTAGGTCAGGCTGGCCTTGAACTCACTATGCAGCCTACATTGGCCTTGAACTTATAGCAGTCCTCCTGCCTCAGCCTCCTGAGCGCCAGAATCACAGACGCGCACCACCAGGAGCGGTCTTTGACCAGCTTTCCTGAGGACCTTTGGGCAGAGCAAGCTGGACTTCCTTGTCTGGGGACAGAAGTACTGAGCGTCCTGGGTGGCGGCAAGACCTGTGCTCCCCACTGTGCGGGTAACAGGGGAGGCACTCATCCAGTGCTCAGGACAGAAGTGACTTCCTGGAGCCGGGTGGCGCGCAGGAGGGAGGCCGGGCAGCCCCGGCCTGAGGTCCTCAGCGTGGGCCGACTGCCTCGTGCCCGGGCCGCGCTCACCTTCAGGCCCTCGTAGAGCTCGTAAATCACCCGCAGCCCGGCCATCTCCTTCTGCACCTTGAGCAGCTGCGGGTGCATGGTGATGGGGAGGTCGAAGAGCTTCTCCGCTTTTGCCAGCTCCTGGCGTTCCTTCTCGTGTTTTGCCATCTCCTTTTCGAAAGTGTTCAAAAGTTCTACTCCTAGAACATGGATGCATAAGTGGATGAGAATGTAGGGGCGCATGCCTGCAAACCCAGCGCTCTGGGAGGCTGAGGCGGGAGGATCGCAAGCTCAAACCCAGCCGGGACAACTTAAGAGACGTAGGCAGACCCTGTTGCAAGACTAAAAAATGAAAAGAGGGCTGGGCACGTAGCTCAGTGCAAAGGCCCCGGGGTTTAATCCCCGCATGCACAAAAGTTAAATTAATTCCATGTCAGTGTGTACAAAACTGAGTAAGAAGCATCTCTTCATCAAGGATGGAGAGATGACGCACATGTAAATTATAATTCCATCTCCTAAGCCGCAGGAGGAGACAGACTGAGAATCTCCAGACTGCATCACACTCATTCCGAGTACAGCCAAAAGCCCGGGGGCAGAGCAAGCGGCTCCAGTCAGAAAATCCTCCTAGTTCTTAGACCCAGGGCAGGCGGGACACGGCTGTCACTCATCAGGGATGCTGAGCGTGTCCGGGTCGCTCGTCCTCCGCTGTCCCCCTTGGTCCTGAGCCGGGGATCACTGCGCATTCTCCCTGCACTCGACCCCAGCCCCAAGGTCACCCACACCACGGCGTCACTCGCCAGTCACCACGCCGGGTGCCACCTTCCCAAGGTCCTCTTTGGTGACCTGTTTTTCTAGCATCCCTGGCAGTCTTCGGCGTACATGAGGCTCACGGGTCTATCGTGTCCTGTTTAGTGTAAGAGCTTTAGGGGACCCGTCTTGTCCCCTTTTAGCCAATGTTATTTAAAGGGCAGGAACAACTCCACAGCTCACTCAAGATGATAGTCTTATCCTTTTTTTTTTAAACAGGGTCTCATTATGTAGCCCAGGCTGGCCTCAAACTCTCAGCGATCCTTCTGCCTCAGCCTCCCAGGTGCTGGAATGACAGGCGTGCAATAATCTGACCTTTATCAAGGTCTTCTCCAACGGTGCCAGGACCTTGGCTGTAAAAGCGCCTTGCAAAGTCGTCTATCTGACATCGGTAGTTCAGTATTTCTCCGCGAGTGATCTGGAAAGCGAGGTTGCGTGCACTCAGCCCGGGGTGCTCGCTCTGCGGTCTCGCCCCGCGGAGTGGGGCGCGCAGTCCCGTACCTCGGTGAAGGTTCGCTTGATGCCCCCGAGCGCATGCTCCACGTTCACAGAATCACTGAAGAGGCTGAGCCACATGCCTTCGATCTTGTCCACCAGCTCCCTCTCGGCGTCAGGGGGCTGATCAAAAGAAGAAAGGAAGAAAAGCAGACCAAACAATAATCCCCAGCAACTTGGAACTGAAATTTCCGGGCAAAGTTGCTGTGGGGATTCCTTTTCCAGTCACACCAGGATGGGTCATTTGAACCAATTGGAAAAAACTGGTTGAAGTATTTTTTTAAAACTTTTTTGTAGGACTGGAGAGTGAACCCAGGGCTTTTACACTGAGCTACATACATCCAGGTCCTTTTATTTGTTTTATTTTCAGACAGGGTCTCATCTAAGTTGCTAAGTTGCCCAGGCTGGGCTCAAACTTGTGATCCTCCAGCCTCAGCCTCCCAGAGTGCTGGGATTACAGGTATGCATCACCATCTATTATTTTTATAATTAAAATGAAATCAGGCCGGGTATGGTGATGCACACCCATAATCCAAACACTCAGGAGGCTGAAGTAGGAGGATGACCGTGAAGCCAGCCTGGACTACATAGCGAGACCCTGTCTCAAACCACTTTTTTAAACATGAATGAAAGAAAAGAAATGTAGCTGGACGTGGTGGCGCACGCCTGTAATCCCAGCACTCGGGAGGCTGAGACAGGAGGATCGCTGTGATTTCAAAACCAGCCTGGGCTCCAAAGTGAACTCAAGGCCATCCTGAACTGCATAGCGAGATACTGTCTCAAAAAGACCAAAAAAAAAAAAAAAGAAAGACAAAATTGAGAGTTTGGGCAGAGAACGGGAATTTGTTTTTAAAACGGAAATTCTAGAACGTCCATCCCACTGGCTGCAATTAAACACCAACGGGATGGATCAGAGAACCAGGGACAGCAGGGTGGACACGGCTGAGTAGGAAGTGAACGAGCTGAAGGCGGAGGGCACAGGTTCACAGTGAGCCACAGGAAGAGAAGACAGACGTGAATGCGAAGGCAGGAAGGAAAGCAGGGAGGGAAGAGAAAAGAAAAGAAGGAAGAGGAACACCAGACGGTGTGCAGTCACAAAACGAGCCACAAAAATGCCACATCAGCCAGGAAGATCGAGAGCTAAGTTAATTCTTCCCACAGGTCTGGTCACTGAGTCTATTCCACGACTCCGGCTGCAACTGAACTGCAAGCCTAGTACACACGAAACACAACCAGAAGCACGGAAAGCACTAAGTTTACGGTACCACCGTGCCTAGCATGTGTGGCTTGTGGTCTCAGCACTCAGGAGGCTGAGGCGGGAAGATCCCTCGAGCTCAGGAGTTCACGGCCAGCCTAGACAACATAGCGAGACCCTGTCTCAAAACGAAACAATCACTCCATCGACCTGTGAGTTGAAGTTATTCTAAACACCTGCGGGGTGGCCCGACACGGACAAGCTTACGGAGAAGCTGGCTTACGAAGACGTGGTAGATCCCCATGGTCCGATAGCGCTCCTGGACATCCTTGTATCTCAGCTCCATGACTAAGGATTTACTTCTGATCTCTGCGATCGTGGAGAGGACAAACTTGAGGTCCTCCAGGGTATTGGGGCTCTTCTTGAGGTTTCTGTTCAAGTGCTACAAAAGAAGCACGGAGGGGCCCAAGTGAGGTCCCAGGTGAGCGCAGGGACAGCGCGCGCCCGCCCGGCCCGAGCCGCACCTCGATCTCCTCCTGCAGGCTGTACAGCTCCTCGCGCGCCGAGTCGTTGAGCAGCTTGCCCAGCGAGGCCACCCAGGACTTCGCCGTCTCCTGCATGGTGGTGGCCAGCGGCCCCAGCAGGAGCCGGATGCAGTGCTCGTCCTTGACCAGCGGGTGGCGCATGACGTCGTCGGCGATCCGGGAGTAGAACTGCAGCTTCTCGTCGAAGGAGGCGCAGGGCGGCCTGCGGGAGGCGAACTTCTCCATCACGATGGCCTTGTCCAGCTTCCAGAGCGGCCGGTAGCGCTTCCAGCGCTGCAGGTACTTCATGAGGCTCACCAGCAGCCGGTGCACGTTCTGCGGGATCAGCACCGCCTGCTCCGTCACCTGCGGGTTCCGCGAGATGTCGCTGTGGAAGCTGAGGATGACCACCTCCTCCTCCTCGCCCTTCTGCGGCGGACACTCGATGCAGCTGCCGTTCATCCACCGCACGAAGTGCTGGTCAGGGGACAGGGTGGCGTGTGTCAGCGTCTGAGGCCCTGGGGATGGAACTCGGGGCCTTCACACCGAGCTCCGTCCCCGGCCCTTTAGATGTATTCATGTTTATACTGACACAAGGTGGGACTGGAACTTGCAACCCTCCTGCCTCAGCCTCCTGAGTGCTGTGCTCACAGGCCTGCGCCACCAAACGGTAGGGTCTGTCTTCACCACTAGGGTTCGCAGCGGCCTGCAGGCAACATGCAAACTGCAGCGTGGACGAATGAAATGACATTTGCCTCCCTCCTTACAGAGGCAAAAGCACACTGGGTCGGGCGCAGCCACTGTCCCAGAACAAATCTACTACCTGACATCCCCTGTATACAGCCCAGGCTCCTGTTTGTTTGTTGTTGTTGTTGTTACATTACTGGGGATCGAATGTAGGCCTTCAAGCTGAACTACATCTGTCTTTTGGTTTGTTTGGGTTTTTTTGAGACAGGATCTCCCTAAGTCGCCCAAGCTGGGCTTGAACTTGCAAACCCCCCTGCCTCAGCCTCCTGTGTTGCCACACCTGGCTTCCCTTTTCTTTCATGCAGGTGTGATTCACGATGGCTGAGCCTGAGAGGGTCGCCCGTGACTGCTCCGAACCACAGTACAGCCCCTGTGACACGGAACCTCACAAGCCCGCTCCTGCTATGCTGGCACCAGCGGGACACGAATGCCGCCCAGAGCCTGCGGGGACTCAGCGCCAGCACTCGCCGGGCCGGGTCCTCAGCCTCCTGCGCAGCGGGGGTGCTGCTGCGTCCGCCCCAACCCAAGGCCCTCCAGAGCCTGGCTGGAAACTTGCACCTGTTTTCCCCAGCCGTGAGTCCGAACCAGAAGGCCACTGAGCCGCACTGGGCGGCCGAGGCTGACCTGCGAGTTCATTTACGGGGGCTCTGCTTCAGTGAAATACATTTTTAACATTTGCTAAGAGTTTTGTTTTGTTTTGTTTTGTTTTTGAGACACTCTTGCTACACAGTCCAGGCTGGCCTTGAACTCACTATGTAGCCCAGGCTGGCCTCCAGCTCACAGTTAGCCCCCTGCCTCAGCCTCCCAAATGCTAGGATTATAGGCGTGCACCACCACGCCTGGCTCTATTGTCATCTAAAAGAAAGCATGCAGATCAAGTAACACGGACTTCCCGAAAGCCTCAATCACCTGCCAGTATGGGGAAGGTAAATGGGTCTGAAATGGTGCGAGTCGCAGGTGCAGTCTGATAGCCGGTCCGTCCTGCTTTTTTACCCAGTGGACAGCTTCTGTCCCCACCCAAGCCTCGGTGCTCTAACACCTCTAAGCCAACGGAACCTGCACCACAGAGGCTTACAAAGTGATTTCCTTAGCATCGATGATCAGATACACGGGTGCTCCAAAAACACAGGGAAAGCTTACGTTTAAAATTTATTTCAGATAAAAAAAAAAAAAAAAGCCAGGCATGGGGGTGCACACCTGTAATCCCAGCACTTGGGAGGCTGAGGCAGGAGGATCATTGCAAGTTCGAGGCCAGCCTGGGCTACAAAGTGAGCTCAAGGCCAGCCTGAACTGCATAACGAGACCCTGTCTCAAAAAAAGACCAAAAAAATTTTATTTCAGTACAACAGGCATGCCGTTAATCCCTGCCCAAAGACTCCTCCTCACTTCAAACACACTGATCCCACCCTCCTCACCACCTTCGCAGAAGCTCTGGAGTTCTCCTTCCTGAGCATCTTTCTGAGATGTGATCAAAACTACGGTGAATGCAGCTACTACGCGCCACTCAACGGAAAGTCAGCTCATGAAAACATGATGCCGGGTCCTCGGCCACCTTATGCACTGGTTGTGGCTCTGTGCAACCTCCAGCTCTTGCCCAAAGTCAAAATGACCACGAAACGTAAACATCTTGAATTGATTCGGGACATCAAGGCGGCCAGGACAGTGCAACTAGAGACACTGATGAAAGGGGACTCCAGAGCCGCTGCAGAAAGGGCAGGAGTCACGGCACGAGTGTGCTCAAAGTGAGGGGGGGGCAGGTCCTGAGGGAGGCTAATGGCAGTGCCTGGTGTACGGTAATAAATACCTCCTTAGAAACCCTGTGTTTTTATCACACTTCATGTGTACAATTTATTAACTTCCAAATGCATGAAATAAAACTCCATAGATATATACATGTATCTGCTTGAAACTTGCTTACTTGCTAAACAAACCAAGGGACAAAAAAGATGTCAGTGGTATCCCTAACTGCCCCGGCTAGAAGGTCTAAACTTTGGGTCATTTGCCAACAGACATTCATTCAACAAACATCGACAGGGAGCCAGCTATGTGGCGGCCTCACTTCTCAGCACAGGGGGCTCTCGGGCGATGGCAGTACTCCAGGCCCGTGCTCTCAGGAGGTGACTGTGAGGCGGGTGACGGGTGAGAAAGGGCGGGCGGCAGGAGCAGGATGGGATGGTGATCCAGAGCCTGCCAAGCCTGAGGCCCCAGGGAGGAAGCCGCCACGTAGGCGCTGAGCAGAAAAGCAGGTGTGCAGCAGCCGGGTCTGGGCAGGAGGTGGAGGTGCGGCCAAGCCGTGAGGGTGGCGTCAAAACTCGTGACAGGGAGGATAAAGCAGGCGGGAAGATGCGGAGGGAAGACAAGGCAGCCAGGCCGGGCCGGGGATGCTCCGGAATGGGGGCCCACGGCCCCACCGCCTGGGGACGCCCGCCCTCACCTTGGTGACCTCCACGCAGCTGCGGACGCACTGCACGCACATCTTGTCGATCTCGGTGGCGTTGGGGTGCAGGATGATCTCGGGCGCCGTGAGGATGGTCTCCACCTGGAACAGGGGCGTGCTGCCGAGGACCAGCGCGTTGAAGGACTGCAGGTTCCTGGGGGCCGTGAAAGCAACACTCAGAGCCCCCGTGGGAGACGGACGTGGCCAGGGCCGCCCAGGTCGCAGGGAGCGGTGCGCTGTGACCGCCATGGGCGGCTCCGTGTGCTCCTTCTTGTCCTCCATGTGCGCAGGCGGTTGGGGGGCGGGGACTACCGATCAGCGGAGGACAGTAACGATCTCCCAAGGGGGTTCCACGCACGCCCCTGCCCCGCCTGCCTCCCCGCTCTGCCTCCCTGGGACGGGGCGGGTGACACTCTGGGAGGGGACCCTGCACTGGCCACACACCTGCTTCTCCTCTTCCGTGCCCGAGCCAAACCCTGAGGGCTCCCAGGACGCGGCCCCTGCCGGGCTTTCCAGACGGAGCCCCTCCGGCCGCAGTGCCTCGGGGCGGCCTCACTGGCTCCCCCGGCCCTGAGCAAGGCCCTCCCCTGCTTGCTTCTCATTTGGGGTCTTGGCCTCTCCTGACCCCTCACCCCCATTCTCTCCTGGAACACCCTGCTGCCCTGTCCCTCACAGACAGCATCTCCTCTGTGTCCATCTCCTCGTGTCTCCCTGGGAGGACAGAGACACCCCAGGAGGACAGGGCCTCATCTGTGACCAGGGTCGAGTCCAGTACCTGGCAAATGGCAGGCTCCAATAAACCATGAATGAATGAATGAACAAATAGACAAAGGCATGAGTGCATGCATGGATGGATGGACAGATGGGTGAGTGGACAGACAGATGGACACGTGGATGGGTGGATGGATGAATGGATGGATGGACGGACACATGGATGGGTGGACAGACAGATGGATGGGTGGATGGACACATGGATGGGTGGATGGACACATGGATGGATGGATGGGTGGATAGATGGATGCATGGATGGACGGATGGATGGGTGGATGGACAGATGGATGGGTGGATGAATGGACACATGGATGGGTGGATGGACAGATGGACGGTTAGATGGACAGATGGATAGGTGGATGGATGAAT